CCGAGCAGCGCCGTGACCTGGTCGCGGCCGTAGGTGCTGCGGGAAATCTCTCGCTTCCGGCTGTAGTGTCTACTATGGTCGGGAGCGAGTCAGGGTGGAGTGCCGTCGCTATCTTTTGCGAGGCCGTGATGCTCGCAAAGGAGGCGGCGGAAAGGGAGAGAGAGGCTGCCTCCTCTCTTCCCTCCCGCAGCAGACGCACTAGACGTCATAGAGTGGCCAACCTGCGGCCACCGTAGGGCGCGGCCTGCGGACGACAGACTCGGAGCGTCTAGTCGTCCGACCAGCAGCAGGCCTCGAGGCGGCGGTGCCGTGTTCCGCGCGCGCCTCATAGTGGAGTCCTGCGGTCGGGGTGACGGCCGCAGTGGGTGACGGGGCCCGCCTTACCATCTGGCGGGCCAATACCCACCGGGGGGTTGCGACGAATGCTTCGGCGATACCCGCCCCTCCGACACATGGGTTATTGGAGGAACACCGGGTTGGTTTTTAGTCAGTAAGAGTCTGACAGTACCCTTCGCCCTTACCCCGAGGGCGGTGGGTCTCCGCTACGATGAGGATTTTCCAACCCGACAGCAAAAAAAAAAAAAGGATTTTATCCTGTGTCGTGATTGCGTTTACAAACATACAATTTCACATACACCTCATACCCAGACTCGGAACAACTATTTGTGGATCACAACAAAAGTTACTCCGCTCGAGACTTGAACGTGTGCAGTTAAATTTAAATACTTTTATATACTACTCACTCTAATGTTTGTTATTCATCTAAATTTATTTTATCACCTTCAAAGTATGCTCCTTCAGAAACGATACACTTACGCCAACGAATAATCCAATCATCGAAACTTTTTTTAAACGCTGTTTCCGGAATTGAGTTCAGTGCTCGCCGCGAATTCTCCTTTATGTCTTCTAACGATTGAAAACGGGTGCCACGAAGGGGTAATTTGAGTGTGGGAAAAAGAAAGAAGTCGGCTGGAGCCATATCTGGTGAATATGGTGGCTGCTCGATGGTGTTTGATGAGTGTTTGGAGAAAAAATCGTTTACAATGATGGCCTTGTGCGAAGGCGCATTATCGTGATGCAAAATCCAAGAATTTTCTTTCCACATTTCTGGCCTTTTTCGTCGAATTTTTTCTCCTAAACGCCGCATAACGCGTACGCATAAATAATATTCTTTATTTACCGTTTGACCTTCGGGCAAGAATTCTGAGTGCACAACACCGCGATAGTCAAAGAAAACAGTCAACATGACTTTGACTTTTGATCGACTTTGACGTGGTTTTTTCGGTTTTGGTTCAGTTGGAAGGCGCCATTCCGAAGCTTGTTGACTAGTTTGCATGTCAAACTCGTAAACCCACGTCTCGTCACCAGTAATAATGCGTTTCATGAATGTTGGGTCGGTATTGACTCGTTCTAGCATGTCTTCAGCGACTTTCATGCGATTTAGTTTTTGAAGAAAATTCAGGTCTTTTGGGACTAGCCGAGCGGCAACACGTTTCATACCCAAATTATTTGTTAAAATGGTACGGATCGACTCGTGAGATACAGAAAGTTCGGTGGCCATCTTTCTCAAACTTGAATGAGGATTTTCAGTCACTATTTCCTTCACTTTTGCGCTGTTAACTTCAGTTGCAGACGTTGATGGCCTACCAGAACGAGGCAAATCTTCCATCACATCTCGACCGCTTTTGAACGCTTTGTACCACTCATAATTCGAATTTGGAACCATAAAAAAAACATTCATTCCCGATACTTTGTTGACTGAATGTATGTATGTCGTATTGAATGTATGTTACGTATATTTTTTTCCACGAGGATAATCTTGTTTACACCTTTTCTTTTTTAGGGTTTAACTTGCAGTTCCAATTTATCCAATCAGATGAATAACGCATTTAGCTCTGCCTGAACTGTCATGCATATTATATGTTTTTTTTAAGGAGGACATGAATAATATGAACACCTGGCGGTAAGCAATAAGCGCCAAACATGGACATGACGGTCACGCATCCATTTCTCGGCAGTTTTCCATGAGGCCAATGGATCACCGCAGTTGAGTTGAACCGTTCGTGTCGACACAGCGTTTATTGTAGCTTGCCGTCCGGCGACACTGGGCCGATGTCTATCGAGGGATGCGGTTTTTTTTTTGTCAGGGGAAAATCATCAAATGACTTCTCCCGCCTAGGGCAGGGCGGGAGGGAGTGTCAGACTCTTACTGACTAAAAACCCCCTGTTCCTTCTTCTGCTCTGGGCCGAGGTCGCGGTGCCTCATTGCGCTTACCCCGCAACCCCGGCTGAACATCAGCCCTTTAGGGCCCCGTCTGTGGTGGTCTGTTGGCTCTTTGTGGCGCGCCGTACACTCGGGCCTGGTTCTGGTCGGGCGGCGAGCTGCTCTTACTCGCCGACCGCAGGCCCGTGCTTACGGTGGCTGGAGATCGTCCCTTGATCCCCGACGCCCGCCAGTTGCGGCTGCTGGGGCGTGAAGAGGAGGATTGCTCCCTCACGCGGGCCGCCTTTTTCTTTGCGAGCATGACTGCTTCACAAAAGGAGGAGACGGCGTCTCAGTTCCTCTCACTCCGCACCATGGCCTCGACTAAGGCCGGGCACGAGAGGTCGCCGCCACCGATCTCTTCCCTGAGGATACGACGGTGCTTAGCCCAGGCAGGGCATACCGCTACCGTATGCTCCACCGTATCCTCTAGGTGGTCCTTACAATGACGATACTCGGGCGTTTCCTCCCGCTGGATCCGAAACAGGAACCTACCGAAGCTGCCGTGCCCGGTAAGCACCTGCGTCAGGCGGAAGGTGAGGACGCCGTGGCGTCTCTCAAGCCACTCCTCAAAGAGGGGTCTTACCGCTGCTATAGTAGCGTGCCCTCGGTGATGGATGCGGGCATAATAATGTAGAATGAGCCATTGTCTACCATTGACTGGCTGGCTGGCTACATTCTCCCGAGAAGGTACGTATTTGTTTTTAGTCAGTAAGTCTGACACTTCATCTCTCCGGTTGGAGCTTGGGACGATAGAAGTTATATGTTGGATTTTCCCTTCAAAAGGAGAAGTTTTAGTAAAATTTATTATATTTTCAAACTTGATAAAGTAAATGTGCGAGCCCTGTGTACAGAATGTCGGTCCTTATGTCAGATTGGAGTTGTCATGATGACTCAAAGGTGACACGGGCGCTGGATCGCCCAATTACCTATATTATTATATCATGGTTGAGTTGGGCGATGCTGATGTACGTATCATGTTCGTGAACGGGCGCCGTCAGATGCGACTGGTCAGCTCCGGACTGTCTATTGTCCACAAGGTTATTTTCTTTTTATATTTCTCTGATTAAATATTAGTGTTACACTGTTTTCACATGATTGTTCCAACTGTTCGTATAAGGAATTTGTATGTAAAACTAATTTAAAAAGAGTAACCATGGAGTTTCTTGCTCGTTCTTCTCTACTTTGGAACGAGCGAAGAGCTTCACTAAGAGAGACTGACCAACAGACTGACACTATATCTTCAAAATTTTGTTTGACGTTCAGAAGTGCCTGTAAGGTTCTAATTGGAATTAATGACTATAATGAATTGACTTTTGAAGGATAGCAATCACATTTTTATTACACTTGTTTTACAAAACGTAATTATTTAATCAATAATCAAACATTTACTTTTGACGTTTTATCATCCTTATCTCTGTATCTATTTACGCAGGAAAAATGTTGCGTCCTCACTATGAGTAGCAAAGGTGTATTTTTGTCTTGAAACATAATAATTTTATCAACGATTTGTAAGTTATAAAAATAGATATTATCCCTTCATGACTGGCAGATTTTAAATAGTTACAGTTATCTAAATGGTTCTCTTTATTTATAAGCACATACCTAAAGATTACGGAAATTGTAATAGTCATCATTGATTCAGCTATTTTCCTAATCAATGTAATCTGTCTTGTGACTTATTTTATCTGTTTATATATAAACATTATTAAGTGATAACGTGTTTTATCTGAATGATTAAACAGATAATGGATTGTCTTCAAAAGGTTGTGTTTTTGAGTCAGTTTCTACACGTTTTAAACTTTATCAATTTCTTACGTGTAAGAAATGCTGACTTTACCGATCTGCTTTAGCTGCCATCTGGAAGCACACCAGCGAGATTGTTGATAGACAGTGCCTGGACGTTGTGTTTGAAATTAGTTGGCTTATTTTATTGGTCCTTTCTTTAAGGGATAAGTATTTCACTTCATTCCCAAATCGTTGGCAAGATTTGCAAGACTATCACCATAGCTTAAAGCCAGAAAAAAAATATGACTGTCTTCAGTTAACTTGGTTAGATTCCATTAAATACTAAATAGACGTAAACGAGTCCATCGGAACAGTTCAATGATACAAATTTTATTGTTAAAGCATTACCCTATACTCGGGTTTTCTCCTGTATCGTGGGTACGTTTAGAAACATACACATGACAAGACCCGAAACAAGAATTTGTGAATCACACATTGAGATGATAATGAAAATTGCACGTTTCACACATTCCGCGGCAGCCAAGAACTGTGCAGTCAAATGGCAATTAAGTGATAGATAATCACGTTTATGAAACATTTGGCGAAATTTATATTGATTTCTCAATTAACTCGTTTACAGTTCGCCTAGCTCGATTACAATTTGCTTTCGTCATTTGTTTTCATATAGCTGACAGCCTTTGTGCTAACGACGCTATATATAATTTGAGGACTTAAATAATAAATAAAAACAAATTCAAATATGTACTTTTACTTTTTATAGACCCTGGCATGGATAATGGCCAGAATTTTCGTAGTGTGACTAAGTTCGCTCATTGCGTATTTCATATTTTATAATTAAAGAAGAAAAATATAAGAACATAATTTGGGTAGAAAGTTACAGTGAGAAATGTAAAAATTATTTCACTAACTTACTTCTACCAGGAAAAATCTGGCTATGTTTCGTGCCGGACTTAGTACTTTAATTTCAATGTAACATAATAAAAAATCAACAAGTCAGTGCCCCACAAAACTGTACACGAACGAGTTTAATTTTATGACAAAGTCTGTACTATTTCAAATCTATATTTATCAACGTAATATCATCGTTGTTACCAAAAAATAATTATTAATTTCTTTTCTTCTGATCATTGTTTTGGGAACTTCCTTTCCTCAATATTCTATTAAGTATGAAAATCAATACGGATACAATAATGAGTATTATTGCTAGGAGGTCTAGATATAAACGCTGATATAAAGGTACGTGAAGAGCTGGAGAGCGTAGGTGAGGAGCACCGCGCGTGCGCACTACGTATTCCACCCAGTAAGCAAGAGCTGGACCTGGCTTTGTCAAGCGATCATGGTAGAGGGCAGACAGCTCCTTGGCTTTGTTGGCAAACCTAAAAAAAAAATAAGAATACAGAATATTAAAATAAAAGTAGGACCCAATAAGTGATGGAGAGCTAAGTTCGGCACGAATGGGTCGGCTCGACAGGAATGAAGACAACGTTCTCACAGAACACCGGCGTGAAACAACCACAGTGTCGTTTCGCCGTGTGAGCGAGGTTACTGGAGGCCTAATCCCTTCCCAATCCTTAAATATCCGAATCCCTTATCCCCAAAAGGTCGGTAAGGCACTCGTAACTCTTCCGTTGTTGCGGGTGTCCATGGGGCCTGATGCAAAGAGTTGTTTTATTCAGTAAGAGTCTGACACTCCCTCTTGCCCCAACTAGGGTGAGATAAATAGATTTTGTGAGTGAGAAAGACTCCAACCGTAACCGACCTTTTTTAATAAGTATTTTGCATCACAAACGCAGTTTTTTACTGGTTTCAATTCAATTTGTTTTTGTTACACTACTACTACGTGTAGTAGCTAATACTACTAATCCATAGTATCTTGTTATGATTATGGATTGGAAATATTCTTATATTTCAGAAAAAAATGTTTGACTTACCGATCATCGGTTAAAAAAGTGTTAATGGCAGGTTTCAAGTCTTTTGGCAAATTTTGGGACAGCGGCACTTTTAGGGCGTATCCATTGCGGGTTGCCTTGAAGATATTTGTAAATTGGTCGAAGAACACTGGTATTCCTATGACCGGCTTTCCGAAGTGGATGGCTTCTAAGGATGAGAGCTGACCTCCATGTGAGATGAACATTTTGACGTTCGGATGAGCTGAAGACAAAATATAAGTCATATTTAGCTAAGGAAATATGAAAGTCAAAGTCAACTCCTTTATTGCATATAGCTAATAGCAGGCAAAAATAATAATTTCAAAAAGTTTAACTTTGAACGTGTCAGTCTGTCCTCTAATAAAACTATTTGCTCGTTCGAAAGTGTGAATTCCAATGGAGAAGAACAAGTAAGAAACTACATGGTTACTCTTTTTCAATCAGTTTTTCAATTCATTTCTTTGTTAGATCATTTTAGTCGGTTCTATTATGTGAGAACAGTGTAATACTAGTGCTTGACAAGCTTTAACTGTAACACTTTTCTTAATAAAAACATATGTAATTAATGATTATACCTAAAATGCTGGGTTGTGGCGCCCAATTAACAATATGGACGTTCTTTGGGACATTTTGTAAGGTATTATCCTCGAATTTCCAAATAACTGTTTGTTTGAGTTCTCCAAACATCTGGAGTATTTCCATGATTAGTGCTCTTGGCAAAGAATTGCTTTTCAAAAACGATCCCATACTGAAATATATGACGCCATGCTTCGAATTGTCAATAAGGTCTTGGAGATCCTGGAAATTAATTATAAAATACAGTCTAGATTAGTTCTGCAAGCAAAGTCAAGAATATAAAAGGTGCTGTGGACACCAAGAACAAAGGACGCATATGTATTAGTCGTATAAGGGTTGAACTCTAATAAAGCGCATCGGTTGTATACTGAAAATAGCTTAGTTTTTCTTGATATTGAGAACCAAAAAATATGTATTCGTTGATAAAACGATGTATGTAAAAATGTGGATATATAAAAACAGGAGAATTATTGCCATGTAAATAATTGATTGATGAAAATTATTAATTGTGTAATTAATAAATTCCAGTTATGGTCTTGGCCTAGTGTAGGGTTTATCACAATGACAATCTTGAAGTTAAAATAATAGCTAATATGAATGTGATAACGTAGTATCAGGCTCAATCACTGTTTACTTAATTCGTTTTGTTGTTTGTCGTTTGTTACGTAAAGGAACATCAATTGATTATGAAAAAAAATGCAATGTAATGTATTTCGTAACTGAATTAAAAACGCATGTAGAAAATATGTATTTGCTTAATATTTTTTTGGTGGTAATTGTTTTACAGCTAAAAGGCGTTGAAATAATTCTAAGCGTTTGCCTATATTAAGAAGGCAAGGTACGCAAACTACACTAACAAAAGAAGAAGACGCTCAATAAATCGGAATTGGAAAACGGAATATTTCAATTTTACCTTTGGCAGTGGCTTCACAGGTTCCTCAATATGGAATCCACCGATGTACTTGAAGTTTTGTGGAGTGCTTGGTCGATTGCGAACAGCATCATGCTCATTTGCGAATATTAGCGAAGAATTGAACATTATATCTTCATAATCTGGAAGCGTTCTTCCACGCTTAGCTACAAGAGGACCAAAGACTGTCTCATATAATTTTTGCTCCCTAGGCTGGGTGTAGAATCTGGAATGATTTTTTTCATGTCATGAGTCAGCAAATCAGCAGACGTATTACCGTATTAATCAGCGCCGCCCATGGACACTTTTAATACCAAAGGAGACACAATAAGTGCGATTTGAGGATAGATGATTGGGCCTCTGGTAACCTCACTCACACGGCGAAACACGACGTAAGTCTTGTTCACGCCGGTTTTCTGTAAGGCCTTTTTATCAGTCTGGTCGAGACAGCCCATTTGTACCAAAGCACACAAGCACAGGCTCTCCTACTTTCGAAATCAAAATGCGGTATGAAATTTTAAGTGCATTACTCAAATACAATAGTAGAACAAAAGCCACGTGATGATGAAAGAAAAAAAAATGCCATCATCTCTAGTAAAGAGACGCAAGCCGAAGGTAGGTACTAAACAATGACTCTACGATAAATATGATATGTAGTCCTACGACATTCAACTGAAGCGTGGCATGGTGGCAAACTTTTTTATGTGGAAGAAGCCTATAATCCAACTTCAGGTATGTTGATGGTGTTAATCAACGGAAGAATAATCTTTAAAAACTGAATAATAATAAATACACTATTATCCATACGTACGTTTTGAGGTACTGCCAATAAATCCTTGACCACAATTCTTCTACCCTTTGTTCGAATGTCAATGGAATCATGTTTGGTGATAAGTAATCTGGGTCGTAAGCAGGGTTGGTACCGACATCTATCAATCGCAGTACTTGCCAGTGTGCTCCCATAGAGTATAACCATATCATTGGACAGTTGTATAGAACCGAAAATCTGAAAATTAAGGTATTTGTTTTAGCCTTGCATGATTTTATCAATATTCCTAATTAAGTTGTAACCGAAAAATCTCTCTACTTTTTGAGAAAACACGTAAGAAGTTTCGTTTAGGCACGTTATTTTAAAAAGAATTTAAAATTCATTCTTTTTATAAATTAAGTTTTTATCACAATAAATATATTTTTTTTTCGCTTTCTTGAAGAGGTCGAACTCATCGGATATTTTCGATACATCATCGGTTTTAGAACATTCTATAGTAGAATCTGGAGTATTCAGATGCCCTGGATTCGCAAGTTTTGTCCTATGTTCGGTTACTTACCCTGAATATACTTCTGTTTCCATAAAATCGGTAATAACAACATCAAAATGCTCATTTGGATTTTCCAAAATTTTCTTCACGTTTTCGTGTTCAAGGGTCATTCTAGCTGCTTCTGTGGCAAATTCTTGAATCTGATATGGGTGGTTTCTTTCTAGTTTATGTTGGAGTACGTATCCCATTGTCAAGGTTTCATCATCTAAAAATATAAGTACATTATCAGCTATTTACATCTTTGGATTTTCTCATGAAACTTATACCAATTGGTATTGTTCTAACTGTCCTATTTTTTATATAAATATGAGGTACAGGGATTGGCGAGGGATGGGGAGAAACACATCGCTGTGGTTATTATACGCCGGTTTTCTGTGCGGCCGTGGTATCACTCTGGTCGAGCCGGCCCATTTGTGAAGAAAAAGGACTCTAACACCCGTTTCTGCTTTTTTAGTTTGCTTTTTCTGCAAGATCTACATGTTGACTTGTGATATGGTCACGTTTGACAAATTAAAGTCAAAAAAAGAAATGTTTCTCCTATCCGATGTAAAAGGCCGGAAAATGATGTATGATTATTCGTAATGATTTTATATTACATACACAATGCTCAATCTCATTATTGCTTTACCATAGGTATCCAAAAGTGGTAAAAAAATATGTAAGATCATTTATGGATCCTATAGGACGCAGTAAAATAGGGTAACAGGATATATAACTACTCTCTGAAAATATTCTCTTCTGAAAGGAAAGGTTTTATTACTTACTTGCAACTAAAGCAACGTTGGTACTGATATCAATTTGACGAAGATTTTTCGCTTGCGTCTTGAATGGGTACACTGTTATGTATGTTACCTGAAATTAGAGTTCAATTTTGTATTAAACGTTACTCATGTGATAAATGTACGTAAACATGTTTAATGGAAAACAGGCCCAACTCCTTAAAGCGAGTATGTCAAAATTGAACCTTATTATTTAAACATATTTTTTAAGATTCAAAAACCTTCTTTTTGAGTTAGGTCTTTTAAAAAACTAACGGGCTTATTAAATAACAAGGATTTTCATTAGTCTAGGTCTAAACCATTGACCCAGTTTTTGTAATTCGAGTTGAAGGTAGGTGAGCATAAGATTCAAAATACAAAACCTGACTCAATGGTTTAAACTTAGACTAAAGATAAATAAATTCGTAATAAGGGGGTTATGTCTAAGAGCCATATACGATTGAATAGAAGGGTTCATTATCATCATCAGCCTGATGTCGTCCACTGCTGGACATAGGCCTCCCAAGGAGGGTTCACTTGGTTGTATTAACGAATGGCTGTCGTGGGGTTGGTGTTCCTGTCAACCCTAGACTACCTTCATTGTAGAGTGTTTTGTTTTGCCTCGCTCCCGATAGTGGTAGATGGTCGAATGAAATTAATGAATAAGCGACTCGACTCTCTATTCGACCGATTACCTCGATCGTAACAGGTAATTATACCGCGTACTTATGTAGGAACTGCAAGATACTCTGATACTCTTTCTTCACCTTACCGAGAAGTAGAAAAGAATCCCCCCTTTTAAAAAACGGAGAGTAGAAAAGACAGGGGATTGTTTTTAGCCAGTGAGAGTCTGACCCTCTCTCCGACGTGTTACGACGATCCAAAAATTGTTGTTCTGGTGATATGGGCATATGAAATTGTATGTTTGTAACCGCAACCACGACACAGGAGAAAACGCTAGTGTGGGGCAACGTTTTTTTTTAATCTATCTGTGGCATTAACTGTTATGTATGTAAACAGGAAAAAAACAAAATCATAACGAAGTAACTTAAACATACCGTAGTCAAGGTAACACTTCATTTATATTTACATGCAAATTATCGTTTATTTACACAATAAAGATTACATAAATATATTGACTTAGATATTTGCTAGTTACAATACCTATACTTATCTACATGTACACACATGTCATGTTTGTATTTATAAGTGTATTTTTAATTATAGTTATATAATGCACAGATATATATCTGACAAAGGACTTTAAAGTAGTATTCATGCATAAAGTCCACTTGACGACCTTTTTTCCGAATCCAAATCCTGTAAGAAATCGCATTTAGCGATAAAACCTGCAATTTAAATAATATTTATTTGTATATTGTTAATGGTGTATAATAAAAAAAGTAAAGCAAGCGCCAGTATTAAGTTTTGTCCCTTAAATCCATAGAAAAATTAACCAATAATTCTCAACCAATTGGTTAATTTCTCTATGATTACATCTATACGAAACTATTAAATAAATATTTCATCATTAGCATATGCATTCCATGTCCCTGCATTTTTGAATCCAGGAATTTCATTAACTTGTAAGCCAGCGTTTGGTCCACGAACAGAACTCGCCGGTTAGCGATGAAGAGACAATACATAAAGTGTAACAAAGGCCCAAGGCCTGATAATAAAACGTAGACCTCCTTCAATATTATTTTTTATTGAAACAAGCAATATAACAATCAAACATTTTTTGCCAATAGACCATAAGACAGCACTTATGCAAGTCAAAATTATATATAAAAAACTAGATGAAGCCGGAATTTCTCTCTCTCTCTCTGAGAAGAAATGCAGAATCAAACTCAAAAGTCCATCTCTCTAAAAGTCCAGATATATTTAAAAAATAAATAATAATGTGTGACAATATAATTATTATTTATATATATATATATATAAATAATAATTATATAAATATTATATAAATATAATTATTTATATATATATATTGGTTTAAAATGATTTTTTTTTTCAATTCTATATCGAGTGACTACAATCGATAACGATGCGACATTCGGATATGATATGGCCGTCTCGTCATCAGATGTCGTGTAATACTTGTAGTAATACTCCAAAGGCTAATTGACGTTAATCAAGATACTTACATCGTGGCCAGCTTCCAATAAATGCCTGACCGCTCCTTGCCCCAATATACTTAAACTCTTCACCGGTAAAGGAAAACAAACTAATACTTTTAGACCCTCCACATCAAATAAAAAAACTATCAGACTTAATAGTGTTAACCACTTCATTTTGTCAGCAATTGTATTTATTAATAATGTCAATATATTATTATTTATATGACAGAAACAAAACACGTCTGGTGCAGACCAACGCAAAGATGGCAGTGCGATCGTCTCAAGCAATTATTTTAGCAGGAAGCAAGCTCTACTAGTTTGCAGTAGGTAGGTACGGTCCGCAGAAAAAACAAGAATAATAAAAAAAAACCTGTTTTATAAAAAAAAATTATAATGGAAGTTCAAAAACAAATTTAGATACATTTTTAATGAATATTGAATTGTATTTGGTATTCGTATTTCAAAATTGAAACAATAATAATTACATACAAATTAAAAAGAGAATTTTCTAATATTAGCTGTGTCATCGACTTTGTTCATGCAACGATGTATTCGTTTGTCTTTGTTTTTTTTTAATGTTTTATTTAATATCGAACATAATTACATAATATGTATTGTCAGTGCATCTAAGGGGAGAATTATAGTGTAGGATATAGTTAACTAAATTTCATAATTGAACAGAGAATATTATTCCCCTGCAATTTATTTATCACAATTGTTTGAGATACTTTTGTTTAAATAAATATAATGTTTAGGCATACAAAAGCGCCAATCCAGACTTAGATTTAGAAGTCGGCGTTAGTATTTAAATATAACAGTTCCTATTTATACGTGAGCCACGGCATCACAGAAAACCGGCGTGGAATGACTATAGTGTGGTGTTTTGTTGTGTGAGTGAGATTGCTGAGGTTCCGATCCTCCGCGGCGAGGGAAGGATCACAAAAATGACTTTTTTAAGGGTTTTTTTTTTTTTTTTATGAGGGGAAAATCATCAAATGACTTCTCCCGCCCAGGGCCGGGCAGGAGGGAGTGTCAGACTCTTACTGACTAAAAACCCCCTGTTCCTTCTCCTGCTCTGTGCCGAGGTCGCGGTACCTCATTGCGCTTACCCCGCAACCCCGGCTGAACATCAGCCCTTTAGGGCCCCATCTGTGGTGGTCGAATAGCTTTTTTAAGGGGTATATCAGCAAGTATTGTTTATGCGTGGGAAATACTAACATACGTAATATTTAAGTGTTTTGCTAATATCAGCTAATTATCTTCATTTACAGATTTTTTTTGTTGACAGTACCAAAATATCACGATGATACGCAGATTGCGGCAAAGTTATGTTCATGTAAACAAACGTAGAATATAAAACAAATAGCTTTTGCTTTTGTTATAATGCTTGTAAAAACGTGTATTTTTCCATTTCCAAAGGAACACACTTTACCTCTCGAGGCTGTGCTTGCACTCGAAATCCCAGCTGGATTTCGAGTGCAAGCACAGCCTCGAGAGAAGGATCGAGAGATGACCTTCGGCCAATGCAAGTGAAGGTCTGTGGACCACGACTAAGGGTAGCTCGCCGTCCGACCAAAACCAATCCAGAGCGTACAGGGCGTAGCGTTTTGTGCGTGCCTCAAACAGCTAAAAGATCACCACATACGGGGCTGATGTTCAGCCAAGGTTGCGGGGCAAGCGTAATGAGGCACTGTGGCCTCGGCTTAGAGCAGAATAAGAAACGGGGGGTTTTTTAGTCAGTAAGAGTCTGACAATCCCTCCCGCCCTACCCTGGCGAGAGAAGTCATTTGCTGATTTTCCCCTCCCAAACAAAGCCTCGAGAATAGGAATGGAGTAATTATTTATCACTAAAAGTCTTTATTTTTAATAATATGCGAAAAAACGAATGCTCAGCATTATTTCGTAACATTATACATACAACAGAAAACTTTATAATAGTTTTACATCACGACCGCAATATAATAATTGTCTTTTTTAAACATCGTGGCAATAAATATACTTTGGATTATTGCAGATATACTGAGAATGTAAAGAGATACCCTCTCTCTACCACGGGCGTTTGACGAAGTCTTGTCATCATGTACCACTATACCAACGACTTGACCGTTATCACGTCTAATGTGGTACGTGATGATGCGATCTACGATGGAGCATGCCTACTCATACTTTAAGCTTCAGACTGTCACCTTGTTTTGATTGATTCAAAAGCTTCCAGTTGAAAGCTTATAGTATAATTTTCGGTCAAGTCAGCCAAAATTGAAAATATTGAAAATCACCGATATTAGATATCAAAACTTTTACTGTATTCTCAACTATCCGTACAGATCTGGCCTAATATAAGTTTCATTGGTTTGAAATACGTATACAAAAACGAATAGACCAATAAAGACGCCATTCTCCACCCCAACTTATTTCAGATACAGCCACCTGGCCAAAACCTCGCTGGTATGCTTTCAGATGACTGACATCAGTAAAGTCAGCTTAGGAACCTAATAAAGTTTAGAGTGTGGAGAAACTCACTCAAATAACACGTTTTGCAGACAACCCATACTTTGTTGTCAAGCATGCAGATAAACACGTTATATCTTAATAATGTTTATATATAAACAAATAAAATAAGTCACAAGACAGATAACATTGATTAGAAAAACAGCTGAATCAATGATGACTATTTACAATTTCCGTAATCTTTAGGTATGCGCTTATTAATAATGAACACAATTTAGATAACTGTAACTATTTAAAATTTGACAGTCATGAAGGAATTCAAATCTATTTTTATAAATTAACAAATCGTTGACAAATTTATTGCGTTTAAAGACAAAAATATTTTTTTACAACTCATTGCGGGGAGAACGTTTTCCTGCGTAAATATGTAGATATGAGAATGATAGGGGACCATGGTAATTGTTTACTTATAGATTAAACGTTTTATATATCAAGTGTGATAAAGGAGACCCAAGTTTTGGCTCGATCGTAGTGATACCACGGCCTCACAGAAAACCGGCGTTAAACAACCACAGCGTTGTGTTTTGTCGTGTGCCGGTTACCGTACTTCCCTCAATACCTGCCCAATCTCTAAATCTCCAAACTCCTAATTATGTATGCATGTTCATGGGTGGTACTGATTGCTTATTTATAACTTTCAATGCATGACCTTGAATGATATGAGAGAATAATTGTAGCAGCAAGGGAGATGCAAAATAATATGCCAACCAAGTTTGCTATTTGCAGAATTAAAATAATGGCGTCATAAACGATCCTAAACTAAGATGGGATTGTTTTTACAGAACAAGTATTTGCCAAGAAAACTGATCATGGAATGGTCTGAACCGGTAATATTTGAAAATTCGACGGTCACATTTTCTATCTTCTTACCAGAAGTTTGTTCATTTTCGATCAATCCCTAAGTGTAGGAGAGCCAAGCTTTGGCACGAATGGGTCGGCTCGACCGGAGTGATACCACGGCCTCACAGAAAACTGATGGGAAGCAATACTTATTTCGTTTTGCGCCTTGTGAATGATGTTACCGAAGGCCCAATTCTTACCCCCTTCAATCCTCAATCCTCATATCCCCTATCCTGTAAGTCCCTTATAACTCACAAAAGGCCGGCAACGCACTTGTAGTACTCCATTGGTACTACGAGTGTACCAGCTTACCATCAGATAATCCGTCTGCCCGTTTACCGACCTTGCCCGTAACAAAGTCGTCTGTCGCATCAACTTTCATGCTGTATTGTTTTAAAAGGTCATCTGGTATAACTCCTCAACGGCGCAATATGTTCTAGGTCTAGTAATCCACAAATTAATATATTAAATAGTCAGGTATTTATACCCTTGGATGTATTGTTTACCTACAACTTTGATAATTTCTGTCATTTATCTTCTTTCCGAGCAAGACCCTCTAGTTCATTACGCTTGCAAGCTAAACCTGGTCAAGAATTGTTTATGCTACAAACGGGCAGATAATAGTCGTTATGAGGTAATATGCACTTAAGAATGTATTCATGTCATTAGATACAAATACTTACGTATCTATATCTCACTACAAACGTACCTTTACTTTTCTTTATTCAAAAACTAATGCGATGACGCAAAGAAACTTATCTACAAAATGTGTAATAATACTAATTACCTTTATAATCACCTAACAATAGTATTTGGAACATAGGATAATGATCTACCTACATAGATATAAAACAAACACAAAAAACATATAGGTAATCACAATAATTATTTCTTATAATCACGATTGACTTCACGGCTGCTGCGGTGGTTGGGCAAACGAAACAAGTATTTGTGTAGGTAATCCACTAAATATTTTTTCAGGTTTGGATGTCATGTGTAAGTGAAGTTGTATGTTTGTAAACGCACTCTCGACTTAGGAGAAAATTGGAGAATGGTGCAGTTTTATTAAAAAGACAGTTGTACTAATCCAATTGCTTCGATGGACTTAAAATGTTATTTTAACAACAACAGTATGGGAGAGCAAAGCTTCGGCACGTTGACTCGACCGGAGTTATATCACAGCCTCATAGAAAACCGGTGTGAAATAAACATACCGTTGTGGTTCTCCATGTTAGTGAGATAACAGAGGCCCAATCCCCCTCCTCCTTGGCTTTACTCGAAATTTCATAATGAGATACGGGGCAATGTAATACTATCTATAACTATGGTATTTCTAAGCGCGGGGTGAGGCGAAGATTTGAAAATGGCCAAATTACCTTTAACCCTACTTTTTATTTCAATATGATCGCAGTTCACTTAATAATCTATTGGGACTCGTTAAGGTTACCTTTTAAAATAACTGGTCTTTGTTAAACTGGTATAAACGTTCCTACGTGTATTTTCCTCCTCCTGTCTTTAATAAACAACAACAAGTGGGTAATTAAAGTATCGTGATGTATTAAATTATCCATACTATTGCGGTAAAGAAACTACGAGCACCTGACTGAATCAAAAAAATCTTTCACTCTTGGAAAACTATAATATTTTCGGTGAACATAATAATATGCAACAAGCAGAGGAATATAGCTATTATAGAAATAAAAGATATTCTTAAAGTATTTGGTTTTAATTAAATGCAAGACGACTTACAACTAGTACTCAACATAGTTATAGATACAATGCGTTTATGATGGTTTTATCTCAGGATCACCGTATAATAATTATATCCTTCTTGTGTCCTTTTTCCTACCAATCTCAATCCATTGGATGTTTGTACAATCCTAAATCAGTTGGTTTTTTTCTGATAATTTTTTATCCCACTTTTCTTCTTGCATAGTCTACTTAGTACGAAAACCAATGCAAATGTTATAGCCAAGATTATT